AGAGAGAGAGCAATACAGAAACAATAAAGGAAGGTGTGCCAGGGATGTGAGGGATCCATGGATGGCCTGGGAGCCAGGACCACTGCCTCACAAGAGAGTGGCCCCAGGGACTGTGCCTTTGTCATCTTAAGGGAAGTTCTAGTCGCTGCCTTTGGCACGTACACTCGCAGCCCATCCTGGCTTATGTCTGTGTCCGGCCAGGGGACCTCACAGCACTGACATGCCTCCTGGGCTGACTACGGACATGGGGCCACAATTAGTCTACTTTTGACTTAAAATGCGACTCAGTGTACACTGAACAGGGGCCTAGGGCTTCTGAAAGGAAGAATCACTTCCCAGTGAGAACAATGGTTCCAGCACTCGGCAGAGGACTCCTAGAGATCGTCAGTTAAACTCTACCTTCAGAAAAGTAAGGAGATCAGTAACATTTTCAAAGAAGCTTTACTTTATGAAACTAGATTTGTTAGTAATTTATCAGGAATTTCTTTTTGGCCCAAGAGATGAATGTTTCTTAGGCAACAGGATTTAAAAAAAGGAGCTATTTCCATCTACAGTTTGCATTTGAGACCCATGGAACTTATGTGACTTGTTGCTAAAGCCACTCAGGTAAGACAAAAAATTTTACTGAAATTAATAAAGTTACTCCTCTGAATGAAACTACGACCACCAAAAGTTCATTCATCGATACATCTTCATTTCACGAATTAGACATTAACTTCTGTTCAATTTGATCTGAACTGCTGAAAGCTAGTAAAGTAAAATGTTTCTCAATAAATCCAGTTTTATTACGTTCAAGGACATATGAAACTGGAAATAAGCCGAGAAGTTATTCCATGATAGTCCTCAGTAAATGGACAAGAAAATAGACAAGAATAAGCCTGATACTTGACTGCTATCATGTGGTGTAGCTGAGAGAAGTTCTCATGTCTGAATTTAAGACTGCATTTTGGGGAAATCACATATCGGGATTATAAAAAATAATGCACATTATGTGCAAAAAATGTCACAAATGCCAACGTCTTACCTTGAGTAGCTTCATGAGACCTTCCAGCTGGACCATCAGCTCCCGCCGGCTCTCCTGCAGTGCGGACATCCTCTGCTCCAGCTCGTCCTTGCGCTGTCTGAGAAAGCAGCAGTGGTCATCAGAAACAGCATTCACCCACCGAGTCACTCACACTCCCCACCTCGTGGGACCTGTGGACCCCCAGGGAAAGGGCCTCTCTGGGGGTTGGACATGGTTACTAGGCAGGGAAATGTCCAATGACTGAACAATTACAGCTCTGAGGTGTACAATTATTTGTTAGGAGTCATACTAAAATAGAATTAAAATCCTTTGGACACTTCTCCCCTTTTACGCTGGATTAGCTTTAGATAAACTCTTTTTTTTGAAAATATTTTTATTGATTTCAGAGAGGAAGGGAGAGGGAGAGAGAGAGATAGAGACATCAGTGATGAGAGAGAACCATTGATCGGCTGCCTCCTGCACGCACCACACTGGGAATTGAGCCTGTAACCTGGGCATATGGCCTGACCGGGAATTGAACTGTCACTTCCTGGTCCATAGATCAATGCTCAACCACTGAACCACGCCAGCTGGCCAAGATGAAGCCTTTTCTTAATACTTACTATGTCATGGCCCCTGTGCTATGCCATTGGGTTTCCTTGACACAACAAATCAAAACCAAACCATCACTGAAAAAGGCCAATCCCCATCCAGCCGGTGTGGGTCAGTGGTTAAGTGTTGACCCATGAACCAGGAGGTCATGGTTCCATTCCTGGTCAGGGCACATGCAGAGGTTTCAGGCTCAAGCCCCAGTGAGGTATGTGCAGCAGGCAGCCCATCAATGATTTTCTCTCATCACTGATGTTTCTCTTTTTCCCTCGCCCTTCTTTTTCTCTAACGTCAACAAAAATATATTTAAAAAAAAAGAAAAAGAAAAAGGCCAATTCCACAAATTCTCCAAGCCCAAGAATCCTTTTATAAATTTCACAGAAAACACTCATTACCTTAATATTTGGAAATTGGATTTAGAAAAGTACATTTTCCATCTGTTCCATCCTTAGTATGCAAAGTAGTGCTTTTCAGAGGCCAAATATTAATGGCGCATAGTTATTATAGTCAATCTAAATTTTTTGGTTTTGGTTTGCATTAAGTGAAGTCAGAATAAAGAAATTCCTATATAATTGTTTTAACTAAAAATAATCTACAAGGGTTGTCTTCGCTTAATTTTATTTTGTTTTGTAGAACAATTAAACTGCCAACAAGAATGGAATTGTCATGCATGACAATTTATACTCGTATCATTGATGTTGACACTTAGAGGTATCAAAAATATCTTTAAGAGGGGGAATAAATGAAACAGTATGAAGGTGAATATTAATGGCTCACATTTCTGAAGTATATGTATACATTTCAAATCAATTTAAAATTCGATTATTTAATGACTATTAGTGAATAAGTAATACATCTTTTTTTCTTGCCCCAAAGGCTTCTCTGTCTGAGTCTGAAATATTGGAACTTATATTTTAACAATGTGTGGATGTTTTAACCATATGTGCATCAATGTAGGGATGGACATGCCTCGTCTCAATGGCACAGACACAATATTAGGTGGAGCGACAGCAGGGACTCTGCAATAAAAAACTGACAATCTGGAAACGAAATGTCACACTGAGTTAGGCCAAGGGCTCATCCTATTGAAGGGTACTCTGTGGGAGGACAGGCTATAGCGATAAATCAGACACCTCTAATTTGCTTTCGGATAGGCTCACTCTATAATGAATGATGATTTTAAAATTTATAAACATACCTCAACTCTTTTTGAATATATTTTCAGCTTTTATTACCATTCGAGGCTTACTACCAGAGCAATCTTTCCTTTGATTTCCTTAACAACTGCCTCTTTCCTGAATCCCGTGGATAAGGAATAGCAATTCTATGCAACAGTGAACGCGGAGCAGAGTGCATAGGAAGTGTCGGGTTAGCACACAGAAATGCCTAGCGTATCATCCTAGTTAGCTGTTAGATCTGGCTTGCAACCTTGGCTTTCAGCTTTGTTGTGGCTAAAGCGAAAAGGAAAATATGATCATTTAGAAAGGTCATCGTGCTCTTAAGATAAAAAATAGACTATGATTTCACGAGGAGCAAAGCTCTGCTCCGTTCTCCCCTCTCCTGTCCCTGAGCTAAAAGAACTTTGTGCTGTTGGTTTCTCAACAAAGGGCCCAGGAAGGAGGGAATGGAATGAGAAGACCTCTCTCAGAGCCACAAAAAGGCGTTTCTGTGGCTGTTTCACTTGGCTGCCCCTCAATGTGAACGAAGGCCAAGTAACTATGCAAGAGGCCATTGTCTTGGAGTGCTTTCAAAATATGACATGATGAAAGAATAAAGCTTAGAACACTGGGAGCTGGGTTTCTTAATCTGGGATGTCAGGGTATCTGTGAAATCCATGAATTGTGAAAGGGCTTAGCACAGAATAAGTGGTTTATAAGTTCCTAGAGAAATGTTCTTTTTTTAAAAAAATATGGTTTTATTGACTGTTAGAGAGAGAGAGGACGCGAGAGGAATAGAGAGATAGAAACATTGATGAGAGAATCATCTATACTGCCTCCTGCACGCCCTCTACTGGGGATCGAGCCCGTAAGGTGGGCATGTGCCCTGATCTGGAATGGAACTGGTGATCTCTTGGTTCATGGGTTGAAGCTCAACCGTTGAGCCACATTGCCAGGCTAGAGAAATACTCTTAAAGGGAGGGTATTCCTTCTAGGCAGAAGAAATGTATAGAGCAGTGGTTCTCAACCTTGGCTGCACATTAGAATCACCTAGGAATCTTTTTAAAATCCTGACTTCTGGGCCTCATCCTCTGGAAATTCTGTTTCTTTGTTACTAATGTTGTGGCCCCACCCCATCACAAAGAAACAGAATTTCCGGAGGATGAGGCCCAGAAATCAGGATTTAAAAAAGATTCCCAGGTGATTCTAATGTGCAGCCAAGGTGGAGAACCACTGCACTAGAGTATGGAGGCAGGCAAAGCAAATCAGCTGGGGTTAGGTGTCTCAGGCCTCAGGTGTGGGGCACCAGCTGACAGTGAGGGCCAGAGGCACATGGGTTCTTGCAAGCCAGACTCCTTCGTGTAGCTCTAGACTCAGCTGGGGCCATGGGACCAAGTCAGGACCAGAGGGAAGAAATGTCAGTTGGAAAACTCATCAACAGTGACCCAGGCACATCAAGATGCCTTCGCAGCCTGGATTATCCAAATGGAACCAAATAGTTTGGAAAGCAAATGCTCACTGGTGGGAACTGATGAAAATGCTTATGAAAAAGTCCTAGCCGTCATCCCTCCACTAGAGAATGGGACAGCCAGTAGAAGAGGCAGAAAGGACCTTTCAGGTGGAGAAAACGTACTCAGATGTGCAGATGAAGAACCACTCCGCTTCCACGTTGCTTTTTATATTTCTGCATGTATCCAACTTAATTTCCAACTTGTGAGCTTGGAGGGCCTACACCCGTGGTCGGCAAACTGTGGCTCGAGAGCCACATGCGGCTCTTTGGCCCCTTGAGTGTGGCTCTTCTTAAGGCTTAGGAGTACCCTAATTAAGTTAATAACAATGTACCTACCTATATAGTTTAAGTTTAAAAAATTTGGCTCTCAAAAGAAATTTCAATCGTTGTCCTGTTGATATTTGGCTCTGTTGACTAATGAGTTTGCCGACCACTGGCCTACACCATCCTATTTGGTGAAAGATACTTTCTAACAGTCATTCCTTTTATAAGTCTTCGAGGAGGAGGAGGATGTGAAACGTCACTTTGTCCTTCTTCTCATTTTCACCCTTTCTGGGGATGGTGTGGTAGAATGTGCAAGAATTTCCAATCCATCTCTCTGAAGATAGACCAGAAATCAAAAAAGTTGAAAAGGAAGAATCCCTGTTTCGTCCGTTAACTTGTTTAGTTATTCTAAAGTATGATGCGATCTCAGCGGCCCCACCAGATGCAGGCTCTGTAGATTTCCTTCCCAAAACTCAGATTTACTTCCTGTGGAGGGCTGGTCCCACCAGCCAGGGGCATGGGTCCCAGCCGAGGGCAGGCAGGTCGTGCAGGCTGGGCCAGGGTTGCTGCCGTGCTCAGATGTTGACATGTCTGAAGAGCAGGGTTAGAGTGGAACCCCCGGAAACATCCATGACTCCCATCAATAGGTATTTGGTAAAAAAAAACAACGGAGCCAAACAGGACCTGCTTCATTTAGTCTCTTCATATGGAGAAAGTAAATGAGAGTCTAATTCTGGCAAAGGTTTCTGAAAAGAGGCATCGGTACAATCAGGGCCCGCTTAACAATGGGGAAGTGCTCTGAAAGAGGCAGCAGTAGATGGTTTTGTTGTGTGAACATCAAAGAGTGCACTTAACAGACCTAGATGGTCTACCCTGCACACCTAGGCCATATGGTATCGCCTACTGCTCCTAGGCTACACGCCTGCATAGCATGTTCCTGTCTGTACAAAGCAATGTGAGATTAAGTCAAGCACAAGACAAAATGGTGCCATCCAGAGACAAAGTAAACACGGGATGTGTGAGGCTGCTGCCGGCACAACATGGCACACTGCTTTACCGCAAACTATTTTTTATAAGTAGAAAGAGTCTACGCTAAAACAATGATAGAAAGTATAGTATTGTAACTACATAAAGCGGTAGTATGGTCGTTTATCATCATCAAGCATTATGCACTGTACATAGTTGTATGCGCTATACTTTTACCTGCCTGGCAGCTCGGTAGGCTGGGTGACACCAGCATCCGCAGCAACGCACTGTGCCACTACGATACGACGGCTACGACATCACTAGGCAACGGGAATGTTTCAGCTCCATTATAGACTTATGGGATCACCACCGTCTATGCGGTCTGCTGTCTACTGAAACGGCGCTACGCGGCACGTGACTATACTAGTACTTAAACAGTACGCCCCATCGTTAGGAAATACTTGGCACCCAAACCGAAAGATGGAAAGTGCGCTGCACTTGCTAACTGAAAGTGCCTGTGAAATGTGACATTTCTATGAGGGAATGCCTTTCAATTTATGTTCGTTTTGTTTGCTACACAAATGGGCTTGAGCATGTGCCATATTCAAGGAGGGAGGGAAGCCAGTTTGACATGGAGCCCAGGCATGACTTGCCTTTCACCCACGGGTGCAGAGGGAGCCACGTCCTCACCCACTTCCTGCTACTTTCTACCTTCCCGACTCGGAGAAGTGCACTGAGTTTCGGGGGGTTGAACTGGACGACCTAAGGTCCTTCCCAACTCAAATGCTTATGATGACAGAGGAGGTGGGCCCAGGCCTTGACACTCTATTGCAGCACAAGAAGGTGTGTGTTTTAAGATCTCTAAGTAAAGCTACTAGGGACCAGATTTAGAGAAAACCAGACTCCCTTTCATGGGTTACAGGCACATTTTTAAGTGTAAAAATGTTTGATCACTTGCATTATAAACACACTGTTGAGGGTACAAATAATTCAAGAAATCTGAGTTAAATTTTTTTTCCAGGAAGAGATTTTGTTTCTGACCTAAAGAACGGTTTCCTTTCTCTATATCAAATGAAGGAATGAAATAGAAACAGCTTCTCCCTCAAACCCCCACATCTCAGCAATAAGGCGTGTGCAATTAAAAACACACGAAGGTCAGAAGTGGCGAAGGGCCGGTCGCTGGCTAGACTGCCAGGCCTTAGAAGACGCCGGCACCCGTATCTGAGACCCATGGGCTCTTCTTACCTGAGGAGCCGCAGCTCGGCCAGCAGAGTGGGGTTTTGCTGCGCCTTTTCGGGGGTGGGCTGTGAGGCTTGTTCATGCTCCAGCCGCAGCCTCTGGATCTCCTGTAAGATTTCTCTTGGGAGAGAGGAGGAAGGTAAGAAACCAGGGTCAGTCAACGCTCAGAGCACCTAGGACTTCACATCTGGGTAGAGCAGCTCAGGGCCACCGGCGCAAAGAAGGGGTCACCCTACCTTTCTGAGCAGCACCCCGCCCCCCCAACCCAGCAGTGTTTATGAGGCGTGGCTGGAGCTAGCGGGCCATGTGGAGAGGTTCCGACTCCCTCTCGGGTCCATCTGAGCTGTGAGAAGTCAGGCTGAGCGTTCTCACCAGGACCCACTCATCCCTCTAGCAGGGAATAGAACGCCATGGGCATGTCTCAGCTTTGGAAAGTGCACGGCTAACGGGGCAACATGCACCTTCCTGTTCTTTATGATCCATGGACACCATAAAGGGGCTGCAACTTCCAGGCAGAGGTGCTTGGAAAGGAACTAGGAACACAGGGTGCTCGTTTCACAAAACGAAATGACCGCACTCACTCGCCAGGAATGACACTGCTCTCACCGAATTTATCTGAGAAGGTCCCGGTGAGGCAAAGTCCTCTCTCTTTTTCTTTTTTAAAAAAATATTTTATTGGTTTTTTACAAAGAGGAAGGGAGAGGGATAGAGAGTTAGAAACATTGATGAGAGAGAAACATCGATCAGCTGCCTCCTGCACACTCCCCACTGGGGATGTGCCCGCAACCAAGGTACACGCCCTTGACCGGAATCGAACCTGGGACCCTTCAGTCCGCAGGCCGACGCTCCATCCACCGAGCCAAACCGGCCAGGGCTCTCTCTTTTTCTTAACAATGGATCCCAATGAGAGTAGCCTTAGAGGGAAAGTGGTTTTAAAAGGATTCACTGTAATTGCGTCTGTGACATAAGAGAGCTCTCGGTGTGACCTCTGTCAGGGGTGAGACACGTCAGTCTATGATTGATGTGGGGGCCGGGGTTGCCCTGCATTGAGGTGAACATCAGGCCGACCATGAGGGATAGGTGACCCATGTAAGGCAAACGACCCCTAAGTGAGCTGGAAGCCATTAGCAAGGTAACAAGTCACATATTCTTGGGGGAGGGGCTGGTCTCCCAGACAACACAATGCACAAGAGCCAGTAAAACAGAACAAAGTACCGAGAACGGAGGTGGACTTGGTGAGCCAGGGGGTGGCTTCTTCTCGGAAAGGTTAAATTTATGACTTCAACCTTTCTTTGGCTCCCTTTGTGTTCCATAGTGAAAACATTTCTTTAAGAGAAATATTCCGCGGAAACCCAGTAGGTGAGAGGAAGGGTGCTCCTGGCCCTTCTCCCCCCTTTCCAGGCACCTCTCCGGAGGCTCCAGGGTCTCATCGAGCTCAGCCTGAAAACCAGTGGCCGGATTGAAGATCTCCAGGGCCAACATCCTGACATTCTGGGACTCTCCCTAGTTCTCCTTGTTGGTTGTAAGACTAGAACCATGGCGGAGCCATGGAGCCCAAGGAAGGAGCAGCTCTGATAAGAAAAAATCATGGTAAGATATGTAAGGAGGACTGAGTGCTTAGTCTACAAGGAACTATGCTGCCTTCTTTAACCGTATTTTATTTAACCCTCATAACAATGCTATTATATACAGGTACTACTGTTGTCTGATTCAGGAATGCGGACATCAAAGAACAGACCAGTGAAAGGACTTGCCCAAGTTCAATAGCACCTTAGTGGTGGAGGTGACCTGAACCCGGGCTTGTGAGCTCCGAAGCTCATATGCATCAGACTCCCTCAGTCTTTGGTACTTGCTCTGGAGGTCTAGCCAGGGCTTCTCAGAACGTGGCCTTAAACATCCACACGGGATAAAGAGCCGAAGCATTTTAAAGCTTGACTGCAGGTTGTCAATGGGCGCGCACTTGGACCAAAAAGCCACTGAGGCCGAGCAGCCCAGCAGCTGAGCAGCCGAGCAGCCTACCGGTTCTTGTTCTCCAGCTCTGCGATGAGCTGCCTCTGCTGCTTGTTCGCGTCGATGGTGAAGGAGATGTCAGGAGCGCCTCTCTGCTGCGCTGGCTGCTGCAAAACACGAGGGTCACACGGTTCACTATCGAGGAGACAGCAATTGTGAGACGTGCAGCTGAGAAAAAGGAAACGATTTCTATCCCAACAAAAAAGGGCAAATATATACAAATTAAATGGCCATTCCTCTCCCAAGGACCAGGATCTGTGGGTCTGAAGTACAGCTAGGCAATGAAAAGCAGAATAGAATCTTTGGCAGGCAAATACACAGAACATAAAAAAATTGTTTTTTAGCTTTCTGATTTGAAGTCTTTGGGTATCTATTTTATTCTGGCCATGCTGTTCCCATTGCAACGATCCTCTCAGTATATGTGGGCATAACAAATACTCACGGTTGAGATAACTCTTTTTCTAGAATTACTGTTCAACCACTGTAATATGCAATTAGAAATTTCATAGTTTTAAAATCATAGTTAATATGACTTTCTTTTCTTCTTCTTTTGGTTAATATACTTTTAGCATTTCTTCACATGTAATTTAACTCTGATATATATATGTGTCATGCAACCAGCTTTAACAATTGGTGTATATGCAGTCATAACTTTCTCCATTCTTATAAAATTATATATATAAAATTATACATGTATATACAGATACAAATTAACTTCTAACAAATTATATATTACAAACAAATAAATCATTGATTAAATACACACACATAATATACCGTGTGTGTGTGTGTGTGCATTTAGTCAAGGGTTAGTTTGCCATTGTTCTATAAAAATAGGGTCAGATTCTCCAGGTCTGTTCCCTGCAGGTCGATGGGGGAGGGGACTGGACAATAGATGCATGCCCAGTAAGGTCTGGGTGACGTGGGAAAGTGCTTGCCTGTCAATCACACCTGGGAGCGAGTCATTGGGGGTTGAAATCTGAGATACTTAAGTCCTAACCAAAGGGAATTCTCTCTCTCGGCCTCTAGCTCCCTTGAGACTCTTGTTGCAGGGGAAGCCATCTGGGCTCCACACACTGGATTTAATGGGCTGGGACTAGCTTAATGCTATGTGGACACGGCTCCACCGTGGACCAGAAACTTTAGACACTGGCTTGCTTTGCTTCTAGCTCTGCTGAAGCCCCAGCTGCACCTCTTCCAGGACTGGTTGAAGGGAAATGGGACTTTGGAAACCGAGGGATATAATTTCATGTGAATAAAAATCACTCATTTAAAAAATAGGGTTAGATTATGTATACGTCACTGTGTCTTGCTTTCTCTGCTCTACAGTACATGGTAGAAATTTCTTGATGTCAATATTTACTGCTTTTAAACCAATTAAAAAAATCTTTCTACCAAAGAATGCCAAACTTTTAAACATGGCACCTATTGCCTAAGCCTGCTTTTTAACGTCCGGAAGGGTGATTGTAGGAAAGGTTAAGTGTGGTAAATGTCTGGCGTTTGTAAAGCTTCTCTATAATTTTTTAATTAGCAGTTATTTTAAAAGAGAAATGATTTGAAAAAAAGAATTAAGAAAAAGACATAAAAAGAAACGATCTGTGTTGCTAAGGAAGAAGTCTGAGATTCTACGTTTTATATCCGAATGCCTTTCTCTAGCCAAGTCCGCACATGGCAGCTTTGACCTGTGACCCAGGTTTTTCTTCTGACTTCATTGCATACTTTTCTCTTTCTCGTACATATTTTACACATTATTGATAAAAGTAGAAACTTATCTGGGGTCATTGCTTCGCTCTTTATATTAAGCGATCCAGAATTATCCAGAGAAATCAGGCGTGAGGCTGTCTTAGCAATGTCGTAACAGAATAACTCAAGCTACGATCTCTGGTACCAGAATGATAGCTGAGAAGGGAAAAGATGGAAGGAGTGGGAGGCCAGACCATTCTTAGGTCTTGAAGACAACACAGTAGCAACTCTTGAGCCCTGCAGTTGTAGCACCGACTATAAGCAGGGGTGGGGAACCTTTTCCTGCCAAGGGCCATTTGGATATTTATAACACCATTCGAGGGCCATACAGAATTATCAACTTAAACATTAGCCTGCTATAGTTGGTCAAACATTTAATTAACTCACCCCTAATGCCTTGGCAGGGCCAGACCAAATGACTTCCTGGGTCATAGAAGGCCAGACGTTCCCCACCCCTGAGCTATAGGATCAACAATGAACACAACATCTTCTCACTCACACTACTTACAGACGAAGTGGACTCTGCTGCCAGTCTTGCCGCGTACCTGGCAATCAGCCTGTGTTCCTCATCAAGCCGGTTTGAGCTCTCCAGCATACTATTGAGAACAGAGCGAGGAGACTGTTAGGCGACGGGAAAGATGGCTGCATTCCTATCACCACCAAGGGTGTTGCTATTTCAATGTTTCAGTGCACAAATTTGAAAACTATATAAAATCCTGTTAGGCTAATGATCTCAGACTTGGATTTATAACATGAATCCATAACATGAATCTAGTATGTGGCCAGGAAGGTCACTAATACATCCTGTCTCACTTACTGCAATTGTCTTACTAAGAAAGCTCCAAAGAGGAGTGATGGTTCTGATGAACATTTCTGATGAAAGAATATTTTCTCTTTAATTTTATTGCGTTTGATATTTTGATTTCCTCATCACACAAGTAATACATGTACCAAATAGGCCTTTTAGAAAATATGGAAGGTAGATTAAAAAAAAAAAGCAAACAACTGTGGTCAGCCTGTAGTGATTCCCCGTTTCCTGGTATTCACTCTTGTGTGTAAGCCCCTCCCTTTAGTATGGGCTGGACTTACTGACTTGTTTCCACGGAATACAATATAAAATATGGCAGGAGTCCTGGAATGTCACTTCCAAGGTTAGGTTATAAAAGACCATGGCTTCCATCTGGGGCATGTTTTCCCTCTCTGAGCCCTTTTGGATTGCTTGCTCTGTGGGAAGCTAACTTCCATGCCATCCGGTGGCCTATGGAAAGGCCCATGTCATGAGGTGCCAGAGCCAAGCACCTTGTGAATGAATTCACATGGGCAGAACCTTCAGATGAGATCACAGCCCCAGCCAACAGTTTGATGGCAACCTCATGAAAATCCTCTTGAGTCACAGGCCCCTCCCTGTGGGCAGGGGAGGAAGGGACCCGAGAATCTGCATTTCTAACAAGCTTCTGAGATCCTCTGGTACTGCTGGTCCAAGGACACTTTGAGTAGCAAGGACCTAGAAGATCTTGAAAATAAATGGAACGATGGAACATCTAAAAATAGATCATTTTTCATGAGCATTTAACTGATAGCCATGTAGTATGTGTGATATTTTCCAAACATTCCCTTATGACAGAAAATTTTAGGATTTCAGGTTGACATAGGTATAGTATCGATCCCCGTGGATTGACATTTTAATTAGCATACAAAAGACTTGCAGTAAGAAAATAATTTCAAAGCGAAAGGAGTTAGTTTTGGAAAATTGATGCTGTAAAGCCGACGTTTGTCTTTATAACACGGTATGTGCACTCTGCAGTGGCTAAAAGCAATAACTGAACTTCTCGTTGCAGCTTTAATGAGAAAGGAAGTTCCACTGCCTTTGCTTTAAACATAAGACTACCCACAAAGAAGCAATTTAATTGGATTTTAACATGTGTCTCATTTCTGGCTGGTGCATCAGCGACCATAAGCTACTTAAACACTGTGTAGAGAACAGGGCCCGTTGCTCCAAGCCCAGGACAACGATGTGCTTGGCGGCCTGAAAGGGACTTTGTCAAAAACATTTGTGAGTGTTTTGGTAAATAAATAATAAAAAACCTTGATAAAAAAACCTCACAATCCAAGTGTCTTTTATTATGAATGGCCAGCAAGTAGGTATAAACAATAGGAAGGTTACATAAAAAAGCCTCCTGGAAATGTAAGACGTGAAATTATGGGATTCGGCCGAGTAAGCTATAATTCATCCTCCAAACCTTTCCTCCCCAGCACTGACCAAAAGAGGGGTGGAGTGATATATTTCCCCTTTGTGCACACAAAGGATTTATGAGTCCACATGTGCCATTTCTGTATGTTCAAATTATACAAGAGTGAATGAGGCATTTCTCTGATAAATTCCATTATTTCAAGACTTCAATTACAAATGGTTGAAAATGAATGGCCAATAATCCCTAAATCATTAAAGAAATATGGATTCCAACACTTGCTCTATCTCTGGCTATTCATTTCAAGACTTTAGAATCAGTAATCTTGCTACAAGACTATGATGAATTAAAAAGGGGCTGCTCTGTAGACTGAATCTTGAATAGGAAGATCTATTATTTTGAAAGCTCTCCAGCGTCTACCTTAAATACATGGCCAGTGGCTGCTGCTAGTGGTTGAAAATGGCACTCTAGGACACTCAAGTGGCCCAGCTAAGCGATGGCTTAGTAAATTGTGATTTAGCAAAGATTTCTGGGAACTCAGGGTTTATTCACATTTTTGGTTTGTTTCTCTGCAGTCTTGTTCTGACTGCCAGTGTGGGAAAGTCAACCAAATAATGTCACCCAAAGGCCACCAGACAAAGTGGTATGTTTTCCCTTAACATTTTTCCATTTGTTGAAATGATGATGGGAATTTTATCACCAGAGATTAATTTTTAAGGTCATTAGGCCTCAGGTACTACCTTCTACTAAATGGAAATGGCTAACAGGAGGATTATTGCCCAGAAAGCATGGTTAGTTAACGCCAAGTGGAGGATTGCTTTAGGAGGTTATGGCCTATGTTTTGCAGTTGGCTGAGAGCAAAACACTACATAGAGCCCTGTTCAGGCCGTTAGGAGTCAGTGAGCAGAAGGCAGGGCGGAAAAGAATGAAGTGATACTGGGGTCCAGGAAGTGATTTTATGGGACTGAGGATTGAGGAGGGAAATGAAGGAACTCTCAATGCTTCAACTGTTGGCACTTTACTGACAGGTTTAAAAGGAAAGTACAGGAAATCATAAAGTGGCAGTCTTCATGGATAATAATAATAAAATCTGCATAAGAATGGCTTCTCTATAGGGGTGCCTTCCAACGCCTTTATTGAGACCTTAACAACCCACTATGTCATAATCATGGACAAGGCCCTACATTCTATCTTCTACAAACTCCCAAGTTCCTCCACTTCCTTCTATCCCAGCTGTCACCGATGTGCTCCAGGCCACAGTCATCTTTGCCTGAATTAGTGTAAAGGCCTCTCAACAGGTCGCTCTGATTTTAGATTTAGTCTTCCCTCCAATTCATTTTCTATCCTGCAGTCAGTGTGATCGTTTAAAAATGAGGTTGGCTCTAACAGTCTTATGCATGAAGCCTTCTATAGGTTCTCGTTTTTGAAATTCTTAAACAAGATGTATAAGGTCCTGCATCACTTAGCTCTATCTTTTACCCTGCTTACTCGGTAGCCTTACCAAATAAGCACCTCAGAGGGACCATATTCTCTCTGCCCTGAATAATCTCTCTGCCTCCTCCACACACACCCACCTGGCTAGTGCCTCTTTATCCTGCTGTTGGCTTTAGCTGCCATTTCTTACCTTTACCTCCAACCTCCAAATTCAGGTTCATAGCTTCTCATGTATTCTACAGCAGTCTGCACTGCACTGCACTTCCCTTGTTATAGCTGTTAGCCCTTTGCATTTTAATTGCCTTTTCACTTGTCTTTATCCTCTGCTAAACTGTAACTCCTTTGAGGGCAGAATGGTTCAATGTTTTCACCATTAGCACCGTGCACAGAACACAGCAAGAACTACCTAAGAACTAGTTGGACAAAAGAATGAATAAAGGTTAGCTCTCTTAGCTGGGACTACCATAATCTTTGGTCCACCTCTTCTATCTTTCTGGGCTCTGCATGCATCCTCAACACTTTGAGAAAACCAGAAGAGTACAGATGAAATACTGTACTTTAATACTAGCCATGCTATCTAAAATGGAACTGTGGAATATTCACTTTGGGTAGAGTTAAAAAATTGGGATACATTGCATGACTGCATACAGATTCCTTATCTGCTTTGTATATGTGCTAAACTTAATAAAAATGTCATTATGCTCACTCATATTCATTATCAGATCTTTACTCCCAATCGTGGCAAATTCTCTTCTGGTTCACATTTGTTGCTATTGTTTTAAAGATTAGGAAAGCAGATGGCATCTAAAAGGGGTTAAGATCCCACTCAAAAGAAATGCTCATTCTTAGAAGGGGCGAATAACTGTAGGGATGTTATAAAAGAGTGGGTGGGAGGTTGGGCTGGGTCATTTCTGGATTCAACCCTCAGCCTTCTCACTTACTAGCTGTGACTCAGGGCAAGTCAACCTCTTTGTGCCTCAGTTTTCTCGTCGATATGACAGGGGTAATATGGTAACTTACTTCATGGCTAAAAACTCAAAACCCACATAAAGTGTTTAGACTAGTGCCAGCGCACAGGGTAAGACTCTGTGCGAGAATTCTTTTTACTCTTCCCTCTATGGTGCAAAAATTGCATGACAATGTTTGCTCCATAACTTCCTTACCTATAAATTAGGTTTCTGCTCAAGCAAATGTGATTGTTACTGTTCAGTATTCTAGTTTATACCAAAAAGGAGAAAGACAGTTAAGATGAATCAATGACAGAGTTTATAGAAGCAATAGGTGGTCTTTTAAACTCTGATTTCCTAGACAAAGGGAGGAGTTAGCTTGACAGTGATAGCCTTCTCTTCCTTTTCCTTGCTTTTGCAAGCAAAGCTGCACACTGCCATGAATTTCTAATCAAAATGTCCTTTTTGCACAATTTATCCAACAACATATGAGTCCACATCCCATTCTGAGTATTTTAGCACACTTGGAGAAAATGTACTCTGAAGTTCATTCATTCAACAATATTGAGCACACAAGAGCTATCAGTTCATTTCTATCATATTATAATGGACAGGATTTACCAAATAGAATTTTAAAGTCTTTTTAGATGCCTTCAGTCTTATTCAAAATCAAGGGAGGTATTAACATTGAGTTATTCCCATGTGCCCAGTACTACACTAGCTAATTTACATCCATAGCCTCATCAGATTGGTAGTGTCACTCTCATCTTCCATGGAAACTTAAAATGTATTGAATCTATAACAGAGAAGGGAACACATCTTAAAATCAATTTATCACCTGATTAGGCTGAGAAACCCTCTGTGGATACAACATAGCCAATGCAGATATGTGACACTCTTCAAATTTTTATTTCTAGCCTCCTAAGGAAATACCTTTCTCAGAAGTCTAGTTCTATAACTACAGCTCCTAAACATTTCACAGAAGAAAGGAATAGTGTTAACAAGGAAATGAAACTCATATAAAAGAGACACTGACAGTTAGTGTAGATAACTTCTCTTTCCTTTCAATAGGTTGCAATCTACTTACATTTTTTCAAAATCAACATTTACAGAAAAAGGTAAAATCATAACCTACACATTAAACATATTAAAGGCATATGATTCAGTGAATTCAATGTTGGACTGAGTTGTGTCTCCCCAAATTCATGTGTCGAAGCCCTAATTCCAATACCTTACAATGTGACTGTGTTTAGTGATAGGGCTTTTAAAGCGGTGATTAAGTGAGGTCATAAGGGTGGGGCCCTATTGAATATATGACTGTTGTCCTTATAAGCAGAGGAAGGGAACTAGGGATATGCAAGCACAGAGAAAAGACCATGTAAAAGACCACATAAGGAGAAAGCAGCCATCTGCAGGCCCAGGAGAGAGACCGCAGGAGAAATCAACTTTGCCAGCACCTTGGTCTTGGACTTCCAGCCTCCAGAAAACAAATGTCTGTTGTTCAAGTCACACAGCGGGTGGTATTCTGTTATAGTAGCCCCAGAAAACGAATACAAAACTTTCAGTTTTTCAATTTTGCTCCCATCACTTGCTTTTCTCACTCACATCAGTGAATTGCTGGTGTTTGTCTTTATCCACATGTACCACCTCTCTCTACGTCAAGCTTAATACGTTATACTCTTACATCAAATGTTTAAGGGCTAATTTATAATTGGTGATACTTTAAATATTAAAAATATTTATTTTACTAGTAAAAAAAGATTTTCTGAGGACTCCCAACAATTTTGCTTAGTGTGAGAGGGAATTCTGTACTCTAGCACTATGGATATTCTACAACATCAACAGATGTTTATTGGCCACCTACTACGTGCCAGGCACTGTGCAAAATGTCAGAGATATGATGGTGAGCAAGTCAGAGAAGGCCCTGCACCATAAAGGGGAAGACAGATAGTAAAGCAAGCAAGCAAGCAAGCAACCAACCAATGGTTGCAGTTCTAGTAAGAATGAAATATATAGTATGCCATGATAGAGACTAATCTAGGAGACCCACCTGAGGAGGTGCCTTTAATCTGAGATTGGAAGCCTGAGTAGGAGCTGGTGCATGTGTGTGTGTGGAAGGAGAAGGCAGGGGCAAAATGGGGATGGATGTTCTAGGCATAGGAAAGATCTAGCATCATGACCTTGAGGCAGTTTTAGGAATAGTTTTTAGGAATCGATCAAAAGCTGATGTGACTAAGTTTTGTGATTGAGTGGAAGACCCCTTGGCAGCTGACGAGGAGAGGCGGGTAGGCAAGAGCTAGTCCCACACAGGCTTCCAGGCCGAGGTGAGGGGTCCGAGTTGTAAACTCAGTGCAAGAGGAATCTATTCAAGGGTTTCAAGCAGGCAAGCCGAGAAAAATTTGGACCTCAGATATGTATCCTAGACCTCGGCATAAAATACACAATTTCTTGTACTTGAGAAAAAATACATATGCAGAACAAATTTTACCCTGGTTATGTGAGATCAGGGGTCTGAGTGACAACAATTGATCTTGACATCAAAGTACAGACTGTAACCTTTAATTGTACCCCTCCCTCCCTCACACAGGGGGCCTTGGCAGAGAGAACTGTGCCAGAAGCTTTTGAATGGTAAGTATTAAGGATATAATTATGATAAGAGTTGGAAGTTCTGGGCTGGTTTTGGATCCTTTGGCCTGCCTGTCGCGGTCAGTCCTTCTAAACCACTTGTAAGCCCAGGCACTTGATAAGCTTCAGGGAAGGGCAGAAAAAGCCCTCACTATATATTTCGAGACCCCGCCTCCCCCGTTGGAGAAGGTGCTTGAAAACACGAAGGCTTTTAAAATGTCACTGGATTAGGAAGACGGCAGACTTCTCCCTGGAGCTACAGTTTATTGGCTTCTCGGACATCACAACCAACCCTGACACAGAAGTGTTTCTTTCATTTAGCAGCAGACTATTTACAAATGAGTCCGTTTCTCACTGTGTTAAGCAGTTCCTATTTTTTAAAGGACCCCACATAGTTAACCAGGAGCACATATGAATAATTATGAAAACAGATCTTTTAGCCAAGAACAGCTCTTAGGTTCCTATTTGTAGACCATCTCATGAAAGATGCACAAAGAGGGAGGCCGAGGAATGACTGGAACATGGAAGGGGTCTTGTGTCAGAAGCCTCGTGTGCAAGCCCTTGCTAGCATGTGACTGTGGATAAGTCACTTCCTGTCTCAGAGCTTACATTTTCTTATCAGTGAAATGAAAGTAATAAGGTCTACACTTAAAGGGCTTCGACAAGCGAGCCAAACGATGTGTGGGTAAGGGCTCCGTAATTTTTGAAGCTCTTCATGAATGTACAATTTATTCATATTCAGGTGCTGTGGTGAGATACAAGAGACTGAAGACAGAACTCTTGCCCCTTTGAAGCTTACGATCAAAATGAGCAATCACAAGGCAGAGAACTAAATACATACACCCTAACAGCTACTATTCTTGTTATCACGATGTGCTCAAAATATCTGTGAAAGCACAATGAAGTAACACAATGGGATATGCGATTTTAGGAAATAGATGTGTGGTGGACGCAGTGTGGAGGACTGTCCAGGAAAGCTTTCTGGAGGGCATACGTAGATGTAGGTTCATAAGAGGCAGTGTATCCTAGTGGTTATGAGCTTGGACTCAAGTGGCTAATGACCAAAATCCCTGCTCCACTCACTGTTCAGTGGCCATGTGACTGGAGAGTCCTGTAACTCTCATAATTGCTACCATTACTTCTCTATAAAGGAGGGACGATAGCATTTACTCTATAGGCTTGCTTTAAGGGCTAGGGGAAATTATGCAAATAATTATGTGATTAATTTATGTAATTATAAAGTATGTAAATAATTTATATAATTATAAATTATGTAAATAATACATGTACTATTATGTAATTTGTGTACGATTATGTTATTTATGCAATATTACATAAATAAAGCTTTTAACAGCTTAGCCTGAGGCAAGTGCTTTAAAAAAATGGCAGCTCTTCGATTATTACCATTATATAGCTCACCATAATTGAATGATGGTAAAAATTATAGCTATAATGATGATAAAGGAGGTGAGAGATCACTAACAGTACTCATATAATTGTGGCCGGTGTGGGGAATTGTTAGGAGCTAATTACACAGAAAGGAAACAGAAGGAAGAATGAAAAATTCGAAAGATAAGTTGGAATTTTTTAAGGACAGAAAGAAAGCCATGAGAAATATGGGGGCAGCAGCCATTAAAATGGAGTCGGCTTCATGGATCAGTCTTAAATTCTGCTTTGTTTTCAAAATACAAGTCACACCTAGCTTTCCTCAAGGGGACATAGGGTGTCTCTGCCGAGACAGTTTTATGGTCTTAAGTGGCCATCAAGTCACTGTGATTAATCACTTGAGTGGGGAAGAGGCTGCTGGTAACACTCTCTGAGCTGTCCTCTTGGAGACTTCTCTGTTACAACTTTCATTAAGAAAAGGTCAAAGGTAAGTGGTAGAAATAACCAGAGTGTCCTTAGAACCGTGAGGAGAGGACGCGGTGTGAGATCACATCACTGCCTTCAGACACGATTAAATCTTTATCGACTGCATTCTTCTTTAAAGATTACTCATACAACTTATTTCCTTTTGTAATTCTGTATTTTTACTTTCATTGCTTCAGCCACCATATAACATGGGGGAACCAAACTCATTGGGAATAAGACTAAAGCAATCACTCTTTCCTCCTATAGTTTTGAGAGGCTGAGATGTGAGAAAGAGGAGAAACTGTTTGATCTACAAGCTTGGAAAAATTTGAACAAAGAGATGGGCTTAGCAGGAGAGTCCATTTTTATTTCCTAAAAGAGTAAAATTAAACTAATATGCCGGTCATATTTATAAAAATTCAAATTAAGATAAATATGTAACCATTAAATAAATGCTCATCAATGAATCACCTAAAATTATCTCATATACTAATTATGCAAAGAAATGATTCTAAGGCATCAGAAGCAGGAATAGGAAAGAACTTCGGAAATAGTCAAGGGAAGAACGTTCTAGAAACAAAGAAGTGGCTAATAATACTGAGTGATGATGCAATGAGCATCAAGTGTTCATGGTATGCTTTCTGAGACATAGTAGTGAAAAGGGGGACCAGCTAATTAAAAGGCAGTTAACCCATTGGCTCACTTAAAATTTACAACTATAAAAAAATCCATGGGTCCTTAGTTCAGAGGATATTAGAATTATTAAGCGAAATTAAAATATTTCTAAGGAACTGGTTTGCTAAACATGCTTGTAAAATAGTGGCCTAAACCAACCTGAAATATATGGTATTTATATAGTTTGTCCATATATTTTCATTCAAATTGAGAATGTACAATTATTATTAAAACAAAGTAACTAATCAATGGGCGGAATCTCTTATGTCACAATAAAAATAGGAAGAGAAAAACTTGACGAATGTCCTTATCCCAATATGTGGAGCTACCTGAATCCATACATGTCACACATCTGAAAGCAAGCTTGGCATATTCAGGGACTGGAAAGCAGGCTTTATCTGATGGCTACCCAGAAACATTTGTGAGGCAGAGAAAAGTCGAAAGACAATCACTGTTAAGGAAATGATTTCCAGGGTATGGCCTCATCCCATAACTTCCTCTTTTTCACATGTCAGCAGGGACATACCTGTCCTTGCAATAGGACAAAGTCCTGCATCACCCTTGTGTGGTTCTCTGACGTGGCACTTGTAACACAGAACCGACTGTGGCACCCACATCCCTGCACCCACCTGAGCTGATCCTTAGCACGGAACCATTTGTACACGTTATCCCTTCGGCTAACATATAATTCTATGGCACATTAGTGGGAAATATCCAAAATAACATTACAGAAGACATTTTCATGGAATCTGTTAGAAAGTGCCTGAGGGACACCTCTGGCATCAGTGACTTCGCCCCCCGCTGAGACTGCTGGTCAAGAGACGAGACCGTGTCCCTCTCTAAGGGCAGCCAAGCAGCCAAAGCTGCACTAACCATGAGGGGTTGCTCCGGAGCATGTTGACATACAACCCGATGAGCACATGTTCATCAGCCAGCCTGTCTGCCACATTCAGGCTGTACTGTATCCTGAAACAGGGCAGGAGGAGAGAGGGTGTTAGGAGAGGCGGGCAGAAAGAAGCAGAGCAGGTAGGAGTGCGTTTGTGCGTGCGGGTGGGGAAAAAGGCATTGGGAAAACCAAACAAGTAGAGGAAAAATAAGGGCTATTCTATGCAAAACACAAGCAGAATCCAAGCAACGAAATCCAGAATTGCATTTCACCAACTTGAAAAATACAGGCTGCCAGAAAACAGATTTGCAATCTTCACACCACCAAGGCCAAGGAATTCAGCTGTACGGTAAACACACTGCAAGCAAAGATTAAGTAGCCTTTGGAGAATCAAACCTCAAGCTTAGTCATTTAAAAAAAGACAAGGAGATCAGGGAAAGTGAACAACAACACAGACGTTTCTACTCAAAATCACTACTTGGTGCTGTTAATGGAGTTATAACGGAGCTGCTTTTACTAAATCAAACATGGTCTTTCAAACACAAAGCATGTTGACAAAAGAAATCTCCATTTTTTTTTCGTGCAGTTAATTCCAGATTCCAGTACACTGGGGCTTTAACTTACCCTTTGCCCTTCAGAAAAGCCGGAGCAGCCCTAGCCAGCAGTTTGTTCTGCTCTACTTCACTGTCCTTGGGAGGAGAGCTAGTTAATAAGACGGGAAAGCCAAGAAGAGGGTAAACACGGCATTGCATTCAAGAATAGAACTGGCGACAGAAACGCCCAAGTCTACTGGTGGAGCCAAGCTCCATTTGGACAGCTCTCTTATTATTTTGAAATGTTCAAGATGTTTCACATCTCCACAGAGTTGAACTAGGAGTAGAAACCTGGCCTGAGAACCATTCTTACAATTTCACAAACCACCGTGATCCCAGATTTGACCTCTGCTCGTTGCTTAACAAATAGATTGCATTGTGCCTGGACAGAATGGAAATTCATTCAGCATTCATGACAGACGATCATGTAAACAGCCCAATGGTTCGCTACCTCCTGCCAGCCTTTATATCTCAGTCAAGAAGTTTGCTTCTGCAGTCTTCCCTATATTCTCCAACTTTCTGTGTTGAATAGAAAGTTGAAAATTACCGAGATTGCAGTCTTATTAGAAGTGCTTTGTACTTTAAGCACCACATAGGGCAGTGATGGCGAACCTTTTGAGCTTGGCGTGTCAGCATTTTGAAAAACCCTAACTTAACTCTGGTGCCGTGTCACATATAGAAATTTTTTGATATTTGCAACCATAGTAAAACAAAGACTTATATTTTTGATATTTATTTTATATATTTAAATGCCATTTAACAAAGAAAAATCAACCAAAAAAATGAGTTCGCGTGTCACCTCTGACACGAGTGTCATAGGTTCGCCATCACTGACATAGAGGGTTTCAGAAATCCCCAATTACACAAAGTATTACACAAAGTACAAGTGCACACAAAACTGACTTTAAAAAGGAAATGATGAATGTTCTAGGAGAATGTACCTTCCTGATGAACTTACATTTTTTTCAGCATACTAATCTCCACCTTCTGAGACTATGAAACCTGCCTGTCAGGGCCAAATAGCCACTTTAAGCCATGATGGTGTTTCCCCATCATCCCACCAAAACAGCACCCCAAACCTGGTCTCCTGAAGCATATCCCTTTATGTTCATTTTCCCATAACTACCGTCTCCCTGCTGTCCAAGTACCTCCCCCAACTTTCTTTTTTGTAACTCAAGATTGATGTACCTACTATATAATTAACCTCAGGTTCTTGCAAAACCACTCAAAACACTGTGTGGTAAATCAATGATTTCCCCGTCTTGTTATGCTTTCCTGCCCCTTGACTCCCAGAAATTGTGGGGATATTTGCTAAATCACAAGCTTAATTATAATTCCATGGGTACAACTTCTGATATTGAATGCGCAAGAAGAAAGAAAGGACCAGTAGAGAAAATAAACACAGGAGGGTCTATCAGGGGATGTGTTTGCTACAAACGACTCTGGTGAATCTTATGGGGGGAAGGTGATGTGTCCATAAAGCCCGTCCCACCACGTGACACCAATACCAGCTCTGGAGGAGTCTTGCTGACATCAGTATGTGCAGGGCCAGGTCCAGGAAGAGAGCAGCAGGCCAGATTTTCTGTTGGTGGCCTTCTTTCCTTTTAACTCTTTGGGTCCTTCTCTCCTTCCTCTACTCCATTGATCTATCTCCCCTCTTCTCTTCTTTTTCTTCTTCCCAAGTCCCTTCCCCCCTCAAGGGGATGAGCAGATGTTCTCTGTATACACATCTCTTTCCTTCTTTTTGTCATTTTCTTTTCATTGGCCCATGCCAGGGTTGGTTTAAGTCCTTTCATGCTCCTTTTCCTTCTCACATGAATTCTTGGGAATCAGTTCTTGGAAAACATGGGGATGACACTATCGGTATTTATGAGTTTGTGGAAAGAAACAATTTATTTTGTTTTGCTACAGCTCTTAGCACCAGGAGTGCTTCTGAGTTTTGGTACTCACTGTTCACAGAGTTTCTGTACTTCCAAAAACTAGGCTTACATTCTGCTCCTCATGACTTATTTCTGGGAAGCCGAAATTATGACCAGGTATAGAGGAGGTCAAGTGCATGAGTAAAACAAATCAAAACCAAAACCAAATACTCTTTCAAAATGAAATGGATCGGGGACTTATAGAGTTGATGCGGAAGCAGGTTTCACATAAAACTTGGGTCTGTAAAGACTCTTCACAAGAAGTGCCTTCACCAGAGTTCCTTTTGCAGCTCCTAAGGCGTTTGAAGAAAGAGGCAACGTGAAAAGTTTTCCTCCTGAGTTGTGAGAATAGTGACAATGTGTAGTTTGTTATGATCTCTTCAAAGCAATGGCTGCTCACGATATTGTATAGAATACTTTGGATTTTTAAACTTTCCTTTTGTAGCTTGGCAGCTTGCTTGGAGAAGTTAGGTGATATGTCCAACTCATCTCGGGCTTTGGGATCAAGCACACGAGCTATGTTCTTACCAAGAAATGAACGCTTCTGCCACGTCCGTGTGTCAGAATGCAGCAATGGCTCTCGCGTCAATCTAGTTCCATAAGCTTCCGTCTTCTACATGCCCTGTCTTCAAATCTAAATGCATTCTTTCTTTAAGCTCTGAAACTGGGAACTGCCTGAGGCTCCCCTTGATCATAGGTGGTACATTTTTTCTAATCTGAGTTCCCAGGAGAAGCAAGACTGCTATCTCTAAATTTGTATGTATTTTCTTACTGTGGTCATTTTCTTTTCACCAGGCCCTTGCCAATGTATAGGCACATCCCTTTGCACACATATTATCAGTAATGAGTGAAGTGACAATCATGCCCTGGAGGGTGCGAGAAGGTGCATTTTGAAGATTATGTGTTCTGCTGAGAAAAGGAGGCAGAAATATTCCTTTAGACTACATTTTCTTTATAAAATATTCTCTATTTTCTCACCAATTCCCTTTTAGACCTTTGGAAAATAGTATATATAAAGATAAATGCCCCCTCCCCGCCATGTGCACACACACTGGTTTTGGAAGGATAGAGCAACTTAAAAATATTTCAAATAGACGTAATCCTGTTATTTGCAGAATTTTAATATTTCCTACAACTTTTGTGATACCATACTATGTTAGTACAGTTTTGGTAATATTATTATACTTAAAATCCTTTTTTTGAAATATTAATATTTATTGCATGTAATATTATTAGATTTAAGATCATTTTTCTTGAATAATTGTTTAATGCATGTAACATTATATTTAAAATCCTTTTTCTTGAGATATTAATGTTTATTGCATGTATTAGTATATTTAAGATCATTTTTCTTAAACTATTAATGTTTACTGCATGTAAAAAAATTTCATATTTATTTATTTAAATTCACCCTTTACATTTGAAGGGTGACAACTGACACCAGTAGTTTTGCTCAAGTGTAAACATTTTTTTTTTGGTTCTAGATAACAGAACTATACACAAAAGCTCCTTGGGTTTTGTTTAAACCTGCAATATATGTTTTTAAGAACCACCTCTGCTTATGTTGGATTACTATTTTAGCCCTGGTCAAAGATATTTTTTTCTTTTATTGAGTGTGAAAATAAAAGAATTGAAAGTCCTGGATGCAGTCTCACGGAGCAGCAGCATTATAGAAATAAATGTTATGTGCAACAATCATGATCACAGTGGTTAACAGGAAAATGATATTGAACCATGGCAAATTAAAACATTTTCATTTTTATTGATTTCAAATAACTGATAAACTTGTGTGGTGTTTGGACTTGTGAGGAATAACCTGTAGAGTTGGCTCCCTCCTTAAGTAACTCTCAGTGTGAATAAAATGTTGCTTCTCACTGTCATCTACACAGTTTAGGTAGAATACAAAAGAGACCACAAGTCAGTTTTGCCGGGAGCTAATCTCTTGAAAAATTGTGTTCCCGTTTCCTATTCTTGCTTTCAACATCTTTGATCTGAAATGTAAATATCTGCCACATGCACATCAGCAAACAAGCATGAAAATAATTTAGTGTCTAGTGGGGTGATTGTCATCAAGCTGGCATGAACGTCAAACCATCCTAAGCAGGTACTATGGAAGAAACACTAAGAATTCCTGGCTTACATTGGATTCACTACGTTTACTATGTTTTCCCCAGACAGCATCAAACCAGATCAATTGTACTTTTACCAAGAGAGTCTCTAGAAGCTTGCTGGGTGCAGGCCATGCACAGGCAACAACGAAAGCAACTTTATTAAGAGGATAAAAGTGGTTGAAGTGAAGAAGAGAGATGACAACAGTTTTAATTATGCACCAACATTTTAGCATAGGAAAGGGAGCTGAGTGGGAAGACTGGCCTATTTCAAGTTTGAAAAGTCTAGTGTATTAGTGGAGCTCTGCGGCTACATGGAATAAAGAAATATCAGCAGAGAGTGATTTTTCTTCAAATTTCATACAACATGCCCAGAAAGTGTGAAAAGAGTAAAGAAATCCTCAGGCCAGTTAATTTATAAGTTCATCTGTTATAGGATGTTGATTTATAAATTTATCTATTTTTTTCTTACTGAAAAGGATGAGCTTTAATCTTAGAAAAAAATAACCCTGAAGAAAACTTTAATTTTTAGATCAAAGGCTGAATTGAGTACCTCAATTTTATTTCTATTCACTTTTGATTACCAAAGTACAAATGCTTAAAATTTAGTTTGAACATTTGTAGTTAGGTTAATAATCTGGGTGGTTTGGTAAAGAATCTTTGGTTAAGCAAAGTGTTTGAAAAAACCGAAGAAGCCATAGTAATTAACCTTTCTTTGGTTGAACACGTAAACCAATCAACCAACTGACCAACCAATCAACCAACAGAAATAACTCACAAAGGCTGCCCACGGGGAAGAATCAGGGTTTGGGAAGCACTTAGGAGGGGGGGGGGGCGGTTTCCCCATCTGCACCACTGAGCCTAATGCAATATTAAGTAACTGACCAAATGTTATTGTGACAAACCAGAAAACAGCATATCTGATTGTGTTCAACGCACTCTGTGACTCAAGCAATTTTCTAACGTTTGGAAGAGTGACAAGATCCGGGTAGAGCTGTAGATCACAGCCAATGTGATTCCTTTTCTGAGTGGCTTCTGTTATAGAGATTGCATCTCTAACAGAAAGCTTATACAAGATATTTGTGATACCGAGGGTAGAAGAATCTAGCTATTTAAACATTCAGAGTGTCCTACTGTGGCTAATGAAGAAGACAGCCATAATTCAATGCATGTATTTTACAGAAAAATCCTAGGTAAGTTTCTCACATAACCTGGGCAAAGAATTTTGGCTGGATAATTAAGATTTTACAAAGGGGGCATGATACCAACAAAGACGGCAAGTGTTCAGAGGCACAATGCTGTGGGCAGTGAAGGGAGGAAAGGGCCTTTTGGGCCTGGCTCTAGGTCAGTAATGATATTTGCAACAGTGATGAGATATATTTCATAAGCTTATATAATGTTGCTGCCCCACCATACATAGCACTTGGAGCTCTTTTTCTAGTGGTGATGATAGATTTCCATTGATCCAACCATTTTTTTTCTATAATTAATGCATTTGTAAGAAAATAATCTAGGTTTAGGGATAAAGTTATGATCAAGGAAATGAATGAGGTGAATTATGTTATTTGAACCACATTCTACATTCTACCTAATTGCTAACCAGCATCACGCGCGCGTACACACACACACACACACACACACACACACACACACACACAGACTTCAAAGGGTTAAGGAGAGTGCCTTTGAGATTTCTTCTTTTCTTTTAAGGGAAAAGTGAATCGAGGATATAACTGGAAGTGGATATAAGAAAAGAGGATACAGCAGATGGCGGTGGTAACCAGAGTTATACACTCAGAAATCTGTGTGAGTCAGATCACCCGGATGTCAAAAGACTTCAAAGATACGCCCTCGTGCCCTTTGAAGATCAAAGTGGAATGCTTGTAAAGGCCTCCAGGTTGAGTAATGCCAGGAGTTTATGGCGAGAATTCTGAAGGGTGATTTCAATTCATCCTCATTCTGCTTTATCTTTCTAAGATCTGTCACAGAAGACTGAAAACTCAGGCTAAATAAAATATCTGCATGGCAAACTTCCCTACTTTCTTAACATAGATCAGCACATTCTTGGCTTGTTTAGCTCTTATCTGATTTTAAGAGGGGAAGTTGGGGTGGAGTAGGAGTGAGGGCAGGGCTCTAGGTTACATTTATTTGGTTCCATTCCAATCATAGGAAGAATAGGACCTTTAACATATGCCTACACTTGGCTTTATGGGTTTCTATCAATTTTAGGGTGTAGACATGGTTAAGAAATAAACAGTGGATCACCACTAGCATGATGCAGTGATAGAAATTAAGCACTGATAGTTTGAAATTGGTTTTGAAATTCTACTTCAATAAGAATTAGATTGCTCTCTTTGGGGGAGAAATGGCCCAGTGGGACAGAAAGGTATAAGTCCTCAAGTCTTTTACTACACTATGGTCCAGCTCTGTGGCGTTGTCTGGCCTGACCCAGTTAGTGCTAATGATCATTCCAAGAGGCACTTTCATTAAAAGTCTAAGAAATCACCATCTGGGGTTGTGCAAAAGCAGAGTCCTCCAGAGAAGAAAATCCGCTTGGTACTCATCACAGATGAGTATCTGATCTATACTGGTTTGAGGCATGAGATCAATAAAATAAGTGGAAAAGAGAGGAAAGAGCTGAGAAGTCCAGCTCAAGTTGCAAATTCTCAATGGACTCTCTTGAACCCCCAGAAGACCTCTCTCCCCTGAGAAGCACAACAAGAGGATTTAGTGATGGAGGAGAATGACCAGCAGTCTAGCTATGGAACTACCACTATGGTTAGTGATTCGGGGCTGGGATACTGACCGTGCACAGTGCCCAAGCTGATTTACATACAACCTTATAAGCGAATGCTCCTCAGCCTCAGGGCTGGCTGCACTTAGCCCCTCAGGTAACCTGAGGGAGTCAAACAACGAGACCTCATTAATACCTCCCCTGGACAGAGCAAGGCCCACTCAGAGAGGAAGGAAGTTCAGTGTACACAGCTTTATTGAACAGCACCCTTCACAGACACCAGGGGCCAATCTCCCTGGTGACAGGAAGAACTGCAAACTCTCAACAACGTGTCTGTGGTTCACAAGGGGACATTCCAAACAGACTGAAAATGGGAGGAAAGGGAAGTGATCGTATTCTGGGTTAATAGGTACCATGCACCCTGGAGGAATCAGAACAGCTCAAAGTGTTATAGGGATATTTTAGAGTAGAAGAAGCCATGTTATCCATCTAGACGCTTCCACCATAAGCACCGCCCGAGCTGAAATGATATAAAATGACCTTCAGTAAGGATGGAGTCGAGCTCTGCCTGACATTTGCAGAACGTAGAGATTCCTAATAAATGCACAACATCTTTCTCAACACATGCAGGCTCTTCTCTAGAGAGATGCCCAGGCCCGAGTCTCTTAGAAGCTTCACGGTTTATGATTTTGTCTTAGAAACGATGGTTGAATTTCTGGTGTTCTGAAAAGGAGAGCTAAGAGGCACACTCTGAGGGCTTATGACTTCACTGTGGAGGTTCTGTGTCCTCAACTCCACTTTTTACAAACTCCTGCAATTTACAGGAAGGAAACCCCATGACCTGCCATGTTCCGTTTGTCCTGCTAATTACAATTATGGGGAACATCTTCATCTCAGGTTCCTGCTGATGAGCAAGTACCGGAACACAGTTAATATAACCAGCAGTGTCCTGAGTCTCACTGTGTTCACATTCTCACTAGAATGTACCAGGATACTACAGTGCAACTGGTACCTCAGACACCTCCTTAGGGAAAAGACTGATTACGTGTTTTTGTAAAACATGAGACTGTATTTTTTTCCCTACTGAAAGGCATTTGCAAGATCTTACAAATAGCTCCAATTACCATTACCTTTGTTTCTGCTTTCCCGTGGGCCTTCTCCAGGTATTTCTACAAAAATTCTCTGGTGCTTTATTTGTGATCTTTGATCAAATGTCTCAGAGCACCTCTTGGCCGCTGCGTATTTGTAATGCTGGCCCTAAAAGAATTACTGGATTCACCTGCCCTTTGCTCACAACAGGAGTGGATCTTGTTAAAAAAAGATGACACATATCTACCTTTTGTTTAAGTCCAATAACCCATGACATTATTGTGTGGAAACTATATTTCCAAGTTTGAGCTTCGGCCTCTAGCCTCAGAGACTCCAGAGTTCACCAAGTAGAGGGTTCTTTTATATCTGGAGCTTTAAATTAGGAGATAGTTCCCCAGTTTCCTGGCTGAAATGGACCTTTCTGAGTGCTATGAAAGTGACTTTCTCAATGAAAAAGAATGCATGTATGTCAGTAGTAAAATTTAAACTTCTTCTGCATTTACTGTGGGTGCACTGTAAATGCATGTTTCTAGACGACTTTAACCACAAGAGCCATCCCATTCCTCTTTAAATGCATTCAAATGAATGGAATTGAAAGCCACGTGGCAGAAATTTACATAACTCGTTTCTAACAATAGTCTTCCACTCTTGGTTTGCACTAGAATATTTTTCTTGCCACAGAATCAAGGCTCATTACCAAAGAGAGGGCTTGCTATGTCCTAGGATTGGAACTTACCTCCTGGTGATAAAAGGACTTCCTGAGGAGGGGACCGAGTGGGAGAACAGGGTGTCATTCATGCTGGTTACAGGTCTGGGTGGCCTAAAACAAAGTACAGGTGGATGAAAAGTTAAAGCAAGTATAAGTCGCAGGTTAAAAACTACCTACCATCCCTGGAGGAGAGGGGGTGGAAAGATCAGAGTTCTATCATAACCCAGGATCAACACAAAATTTTACATTTTCCAATTAAATTCTTTAGATGTTTTAAAGTTACATTTCTTTGCAAATATAGAATCTCAAGTAAATATTGTGAGGCAGGTCTCTGGACACCATAGGAATGTCTATCAGTGAGCTCTGAGCCTTGGCATTTCATTGAGCTACTAGAGGCCCAGTGCACGAATTCTTGCACAGGTGGGGTCTGGCCAGCCGGTCCCAATTTGAGCGGGTCGGGGCTGGGCCTGTTGTGAGGAGGAGATGGCAGGAGGTTGGCTGGCTGACCCGCCCCAATCGGGGCCCCGATTAGGGCTGGGCCAGTTTAGGGAAGGAGCTGAGGGCGATTGACTGGCGGGCCCCGCCCTCAATTGAGGTGGGTGGCTGACTGGGGGGAGGGCCAGCTGTGGGGAAGGGCTGCAGGCAGTTGGCTGGCCAGCCCTGCCCTGATTGGAGTGGGGGGCCCGATCTGGGGTGAGGCCGGTCAGGAGCGGGGGCTGCAGGAGGTTGACCGGCCAGCCCCGTCCCCTATTGGGGTAGGGGGAGTGATCAGGGGCGGTGCTGGTGGGGAAGAGGGGCTGCGGGGGCCATTTGGGGTGGGGCAGGCCGATCAGGAGCGGGGCTACGGGTGGTTGGTCGGCTGGCCCCACCTCCGATTGGGCGGGTTTGCTGGTCTCAGTGGGTGTCATAGCGCCTGGTCGTTTGGGTCGTTCTGGTGTTATGGTCGCTGGCTTTTTATATATATAGATACTCTTGAAGGAAGCAAGGATTTTGAGGCAGCCTTATATTTACTGCCTTCTAAAGGGAGAAGCCCTGAAAACGTGATCATGATCAGAATGTATATCCTCTTGCAAAGAAGAGGATTTCCGAAGCTCTGGAAACTTCCTCCCGAGTTCCCCGTGAAAATGGTGCTCTCCCAACATGCCCAGTCTGGAAGGACCAGGCTACAAAATCATCTTGTGCTTTATTTGCTCTTTGTTGTAAGTGAAGATGCAAGTAAGCACCACAAGTACTAGTGTGTACTGACTTTCTGTTATCTGGTTGAGGCCTATGTAGGGCGCATGGTGCAAGGCATCCCATAAACTTCATTTTTTTTTTCATGTGGTGGGAGAAAAAAAATAGTTTCAACATTTCTCAAAATTGTCCATGTCCCTAAACACCAACTCCTCAGGTCTGTCATCCCCTGTCTGATTGTTAATTTCATCCTGTCATTGTTTCCCCATCACTAGTGTCTTAGTTCAGGTAAAATGAAAGCACTACGATCCCTATCTCATCTCCAAGCAGTGTTTAATCTGATTTTAGGCTTATTGTAAGGTAAAACGTGGTAAGATGAGATGGGATTGACAGTTCAAAAGGTAGGGGATGAGGCAGGGCATCATTTTGAGTCAGAAGAAATTTTTATTTCATTATGATTCTATATTTGAGTAGAATTATTTGAAGATGAAAAATTAATTCTAGCCTACAGAGTCTACTTGTGTTGGCCTGATCAAGAGCCAAACTTGTAATGGTTTAATTTTTATCTTAGGGAATCACAGTTAGTTTGCCTTGAACAGAACACTTTCACTTTACAAGAAGGATGCTAATTTGATGCAAATGTCCGCTGTGAATTTTCAGAAGTCAGGAATATCAGATTTTAAAACAGTAAACAGAATGAAATAATAAAATATCTTACATTGTAGCTTTGGCAAAGTTGAAAAAAACAACAACTAGACCAACATTTGAGGGGTTTTTTGGGGGGGCCTCTCTCTTTTTTCTTTTAAACTTTCCCATCTTGCTCTATCTCCAGGCAATGAGAAAACAAGTAGATTTGCAATGCCTTTTAACTAGCCTGGTAAATTCACTTTATTAAACATGGTCATTGCAAAGCAAAGCTGAAAGTTGTAGTTAATTAGTAAATGGCTTCATGTTTAAGGTTCATCATAAAAATGTTGAACTTGGGACACAGAAGGGCTAACCGTGGGAGTAAATAGTGGCTTTCAAAGGAACTAAAATTTCTATTTCTTCCATAATCAAATGGCAAGTTGCCTTATCTAAAAAATAGGTCCCATTGAGAATTTTACATGCATTTACTCTTATAAGAAAGAAATAGCTCCACAAGATAAAGCCACGGGGGGTTAGTGCAAGATTTTCTTCCTGAACAAAAATCTTTGTAGCGAACATTTTTATAACACTGGCATTCTTCTTATAAACTGAGTGTTCAGCTCAAGGCAGAATTAGTTTTAAACTAGCCATTCACTTGTTTTGTGTCTCATAATCACTTATAATTATGATTACAAGTTTTTATAAGTACACTGGGGAGGATTGAACTACTTACCAAGTATCACTTTGGGCAGCAAAGAATTGAATAGAATAGAGACTGTTAATCATGGCAACATTTACAAGCAATACAATAGCTAAGTACAAATGTCAAAATACCAAAATGTCACCCACTTAAGTGGCCATTATGTGCTTATAATAATTTAAAGCAGCTAAGTGAATAGCATATTTAAAAATTAGAAGTCTTAGGTATCCCTACCCAAAATATAAGTAAATAAAAGGAGGACCTAGATGTCTATTCAGGGCATTAACATTTGAATAACAAATAGGGAGAAAAAAACTATAATGCCAAAAATAGAAAAATGATTCTGTTCTGAGACTGAACAGTCTACATCCAGAATTTCTTATATGTTATTTCAACAAGTAAATATTTTTCACAATTTGCAAATGAAAACATTCACCCTGGAAAAATGTATTAACAATGAGGATAGATCAGTCTTTTCATTTAAGGGCTATTTTGAGAATCTGGTTCAATATATAGAACTTTTCTCAGAAAAAAGGGCATATTTTGTATAGTATTTTAAGGGAATCCTAGAACCCAACTTGTGTAGATACAGCCCTCATTTAGCTCAGTTAATAACACGTCAGATCATATTGACACTATAAGTTAAAGTTAAAAAAATATTAGCCAATTAACACACACACACACACACACACACACACACCCCATAGTACAGCCAATTGGGTACAAGTCCCTGCAGTAGGCGATATGCAGTGTGAAACTGATTTTATTCCACACTGCCTCACCTCCTAATTCTTTCTTTTATAAATTTATTTTTATTTTATTGTTTAAAGTATTACAGATAGTAGTACATATATCTCCTTTTTTCCCCCCCATTGACCTTCCCCCGGCCTCCCCTAGCCCCTGGCACATGCCCTTTCTTGAAAAGGAAGGCAGCATCCTACTTCCGTTGGACTGCAAAGCCCCTAGAGCCAGGCCATTCACATCCCAGGTTCTCTCTATCCTCACGCCCGGCAGGCAGCTGTGATTGGACGCTGTGCGCTGGGGGCGAAAGTCCTGTCGGTCTGGTAGAAAGTGACTGTGGCAGAGCACAGAGCATAGACCCGCCCTCACTTTCATTTACAAGTTAGTGATGGTCTCACTATGGGATGGAAAGCTGGGCCTTAGTTAGAATGAGAACAGCCTTGATGAGGTCATTTTCTGAAAAGTGGTTGGCGCTTTGGTGCTCTCCACATTGATTTACCCCTGGCTTACTTTTAGTAGCAAAATTTCCAAAAGTAAGTTAACCGCCTTCTACAGAACCGGTTTACGTTAGTTTTCGGATGCTCAGTCCATGCCGGCAACAGGAGCCTCCAGACCATGTATCCTGAGGACCGTGAACCTTCAAAGCCACTTGGGACCAAACTGAACAAAGCCCTGGAGTATTTATCCCAAGTTCACGGACATGGTACTTGCTTGGGTCCATCAGACGCAAGTTACTGCTTTCTAAGGGTCTGGGGCCCACAGCAGTGCTGCTTGCGGGTCATGTTCTGAGCTGCCTGAGCATGAGCTTGGCCTTGGTGACTTGCTAATATCCGTAGGTCTGATTGTCCCACCTCCTGATGTCTACACGTAACCGCAGGCTCTGCAGAGCCGTGGGTCCTGCTGAACTTGCAAACGGAAGGCCAAGGCCGTCCATAGGAGGGAACCATCTATCCCTGAGGCTTTCTGAGGCACCTGTGACTGCATCATTCCTAACTGAGCCCAAGACAACACCAAGGAAACAACCACTCCTCCCCTGCTGTCTTGGCCATGGGGCCTGAGAGAGACTCCAGGGCATGGGGCGGTGGGGGGTGTGTGTGTGTGTGTGTGTGTGTGTGTGTGTGAGGGGGAGCCTGTTCCCTGGCCCAGGCCCCTGTCCACCAAACTCACACATACTTTGGAGAAATATTTTTGAAATGTCTGCTTTTTGATGTTCTGATGAATTTTCCCACCAATCCCCTCTTGACCTGTCCCCCCCCCCAAAGTTATACAGCTCGGGACAAAACAACAATCTTCGGGTTGACTGCCATCATTAAGATGACTGGCTCTGCAGAAAGCTAAAGCAAAGGGCTTTTTTTATCTGGGACTCAGCACAAATGACATTAAGGTAAAGTGTACTTTAGAATTTTCTTACCACGGTAATTCCATTGATCATTAACTTCCAATTGTGCAAACTCCACTAACATCTATATTTTATAACAATGCTTTTTCCTCTCTAGGTGAGTTACATTAGTGTTGCACACTCTACTTGCACAGCTGGGCATTTGTACTGTATACCTCTACCACAAACATTAGAATGACATTATATTCAATCTCTGTTTTCTTATCCTCACCTAAAGATATCGTTTATTGATATTTTAAGAGAAAGAGAGAGAGAGAGAGAGACAGAGAGAGAGAGAGAGAGAGAGAGAGACAGAGAGAGACAGAGAGAGAGAGAGAGAGAGAGAGAGAAGTGAGAGATCGGCTGTCTCCTGCATGCCCCCTACTGGGGATCGAACCTGAAACCTAGGCATGTGCCCTGACCAGGAACTAAACCGCAACCTTTTGGTGTACGGGACAACGCTCCACCCAACCGAGCCACCCAGCCAGGGCTCATTCAGAGGTTTTTGTTGTTGTTGTTGTTTTGTTTTAAATTAAATTTTGAAACACGGTTCCTGACAACTGATATGAAATTGCTTTTCTATGGATCTGGACACGTGCCAATAAAGAAAGTTGTCTCTAGAGCAGTGGTTCTCAACCTTCTGGCC